TGCGTGTGTGTGTATTGTTCTTAGCGTGTTTCCACGCTATCCCTTGTTAGCGCCTACATTTCGAGGTTGATAGCTGAAAGCCTGAGGAAAAAGAGAGATTTACCTCAAAGTGTCGGCGCACAGGCCTGAAGGAAAAAAAGAGAGATCGAGGCGAAGGGTCAGCGGCTATTTATAGCAGCGAAGAGCGACCCCTGGTGAAAGGGTTAATGTACTAAAGGAGGAGTTAACTCCGTCCTGATGCGGGGTGATAGCACCTGTTAAGGGTCCCAGCCAAGGGCAAATAGTTAACACCCAAACTGGGGTAAAAACTATGACAGTATAAAAATAGATTGTTATAGTAAAAATACCAGCAATACATTTGATTCTCGAGAAAAACCCTCTTTAAAAAAATTACGTCAATAAAACCTGATCTACAAACTGATTTCTTACAAAGAATACCTATTCTATTCATGCAAATCTATCCTAAAGATCTTGTCGGCATGACGTTGGCGATCAAGGCTCTCCACTATTTCCCGTCCTTCGGAGCTTTTAATAAATTTTTTATTTTTCTCAAATATTGTTCCGCCATCCATTTACAAAAGATCGCTAAGTATATTATGCGTTGTTTTCCTCTGTCCCTCTTGGCGATCATGGCTCTCCACAATTTCCTTCGTAGCCCTTAATAATTTTTGTCTTTTCTTTATTTTTACTAAACATTGTTCCACCATCCATTTACACAAGATCGCTAAATATGTTATGCGTTGTTTTCTTTGTCTCTCTTGGCGATCATGGCTCTCCACAATTTCCTTCGTAGCCCTTAATGATTTTTGTCTTTTCTTTATTTTTACTAAATATTGTTCCGCCATCCATTTACACAAGATCGCTAAATATGTTATGCGTTGTTTTCCTTTGTTCCGCTTGCCTTTCGTCTGTCCTGTGATTGTCAGATTTTCCAAGCCCTCTGATAAATTGACAGGAAAAACGGCGAAAAATATCTCATCTGTCTTCCTCAGAGCCCTCAACTTATCAACATGGAAACAAACTGGGTGAGAAGTCTAATAGCCTTAAATAAAAGTCTTCATTATATGTCCCAGAAATTATAATTCTCTCTTCTTGATGTTAAGTATAAGTTTCATTGTAATCATTTTTATTGGGCTTCTGAGTAACAATAAATTGAAAGAAAAATTATCTAGAAAGAAAAAGAGTTAGGAATAAGTCAAGATTTTTTTTATATACTAAGGAGGTTACTTCGTTAGACTTCGTTAAACTTCGTTAGGCTTCGTTAGACGACCGGATCAACAACTAAACCAAAAGATGCGCCATTTTGTGTGTGACACCCTAATACTAATGTAATTCAAGTAAAACACAAAGACAAGATCTGTTATGTAATATACGTCCTCTTATATGTCAATTAATGCTGAAAAATCTCCCCACACAGATGAAGAAGAAACTTGGAACAAAAGAAATGTAGTTCTATAGAAAAATATTGAGAAAACCATGGCCCGAACAACGACGAAGTTTTAGAGAAAATCGAAACATTTACACCTAACATCAAGAAAATACAGTTAAAATTTCTAGGGCGCATATTGAGGAAAGAGGGTTTAGAAAATCTGATACTCACAGGATAGATTGCAAGAGAAAGAGAGGAAAACAACATATCATCTACCGAGTGAGTCTGAGTAAATGTATGGCAGAGTAAAGTTTAGGAAATATAACAAAAAGACAAAATTTATAAGTATAAGTTTCATTGTAATTATTTTCATTGGGTTTCTGAGTAACAATATATTGAAAGAAAAATTATCTAGAAAGAAAAAGAATCAAGAATAAGTCAAGATTTTTTTATATACTAAAGAGGTTACTTTGTTAGACGACCGATTCAACAACCAACCAAAAAATGCGTCATGTGACAACCTAATGTTTAGATTTCGGCATTAAATAACCCATATGCCGCTAAACAAAAGCAAATAACCAATTATTCTCTTTGTCTTATACTCGTAGACATTATCCAGTATAATTCAGTTTTTCATTTAAAAAAAATAAATAAATGATTTAATATTTGAGAATAGAAGTCCGACGCTTTTACGATCTTTGCTTTTAAAACAACATTCAAATGAAAGAGAAACCCCTTAAAAGTCACGCGCGTTCAGTAATGAAAGTTAATCAATGTTAAATTTATTTTTCAGGAAAAAAAATGCATCATCCGTATTTTATATTTTCCATAGACTATTACAACCATTGATAAATGAATAAGAAATAATTAATTAGTAATAATTAATTAGTAATAATTAATTAAGTCCATAGCGTTTGAACATACGATTTCTTTTTACACGTGGCTGAAATTTATTACAAATATACGAACTCTAATAAAAAAAAAAAAAAAAATGGGCACACTAGCTAACGTTAAAGTAGGCAGAGTGAAGCCGCTTGGTACAGATTGATTTTGAACTCTATTGCGCATGCTCATTAAGTTATAACATTCTCGGTTACTTCCCTTGTTTATAGCAGTGCTTGGAATGAAAGTGTGAAGAGTGTAGTCATCTGTCAACACAGAGGTTTCATTGGTGATCATGGCTTGTTCAACAGCTTTTGACCAAGCACAACATACCATAGGTCCTACAATCACTAAATTCATCAGAACTCGCTCCTTGCGGCTTTTTCCAAAATTAAATCCCACTTGAAAAGAAAAGAAGATTTCGAGACGTTGAAAAAATTCTAGAGACTTAGCAATTGATACAATATAATATTTTCACTTCATGTCAGCGTAAAACGTTAAGCCAGAGAAGGCGAAAGGAGTCACTCAACTGGAGGTTAGCATTAGCCGTGCTTATGGAAGATAGAAAGGATTCTCTGATTATTAAATATTAAATGAAGCTAAACACATGGATCTGAAAAAAAAAAAAAATCAAAAGTTATGGAAAGTAATATAGTGAATACACACACACACACACACACACACACATATATATATATATATATATATATATATATATATATATATATATATATATATATATATATATACAGAGTTTTAACAGCAAAATTGTCCAAATCGTGTGACAAGAAAGTTGTCCAATTGTTAGATTATTTTGAACCGTTGTATCTAAGAAATGATTAAAGATATCTTACTGGAATTCTCCGAAGTTTTTATAACACTATTGGATTCTACTTTGAACGATAAGAATGTATTTACCTCTAAGTTGAAGTTCTTGAATGAACTTTGAAAGATGGAAGCCAGATTATGAATGCTGGTAACATTACTGAAGACCTGGATGAGATTTTTCCTCTTAACATTGCTCAGATGGGAAGATTTAGTGGAGCTGACACAAAACGATTTTAACCCGCTTTCTTTCCAGATGAATAACTCAAAGGGTTTTTCAGTGATTCTTACAAGAAATTGTAATTGGATAGTACTTACGTATTTTGACGCATATATATATATATATATATATATATATATATATATATCCAAATGTAAACGAACGAAGAGTAAGATTTCAGCGTTCAAAACATTAATTTAAAACAGGGCTCAATACAAAAGTAGAGCAATCAATATTGCTGATTTCCTACATGTGATTTCTCACCTGATGAAACGTTGAAAAATTGTTTAACGTTGAAACAAGATGTACAGTTTTATAGTGGGCATATGCATGTTCTAATGTAACACCGCATAATATATATATATATATATATATGTGTGTGTGTGTGTGTGTGTAAAAATATATAGAAAATAGGAAAGAACTCGTTAGGTAAATAATCCAACGTTCTTTAGTATTTTTGTTATTATTAAAAAAAAACAGTGCTCGATACAAAAGTAGAGCATAAATATAATTATTTATTTAAAAAATATGATTCCATCGCTACATAAGAGTTCTCATGTTTCAAAACAAGAGCCGAAAAACTTCAATATAATTATTTGAATTAAATTGAATTAAAGTACCAAGCTCTGTTTTCATCTTCAAGCGAAATTTTTTTTTTGGAATAACTAATTCCTGAAATTTACGCGTTTTATAAGCATATTCATTATTAAAATTAAAATTACTATGGTAACGGCTAGAGCAATTATTTTTAAAAAAGGGGCGTAAGGGTTAATAATTTGTATCAATATCTCAGTTGCATTCAACAGATGTCAAGTCAGGGTAAGTTCGGGGTGTTTAAATTTAAAGCGGAAGATGACATCGTCTAGTCTGGTTAAGTGTCTATGGAGATTTTTTTTTTCTGGTTTTGTGTATATATAAAAAAAACTGTCATAAGTCGCTAACATTTGTTTTTTTGACGACTTCATAAAGGGTTATCTTTCTCTTTTTTTTGTAGGGCATTTAAACTATTTATTTAGACTATGGAGTTTAAAAATTATTTTATAGTTTGTTTTTATGTTAATTATTCAATGCGAAAATTTGATGATGTCGGCAAAAAACCGTTAACTCATGTCTATTGTTTAGATTTTTATTATTTAGAAACTTGATAATGTGTAGTTTTTCATGTAGGCATAAAGGGCATGGGTCATCCCAAGTTTTACAAGTTCTAATTTTGTTTATAATTTTCCATTTTACTTTTGGTGTTTTATTAATTTCCTTCAAATGCCAAAAATATTTAGATAGAGATGTCTGATTTCTTTTATTTATATTGTTGAAAGAGCACTTATGCTGCCTCCATCTGGTTTTAAATTCATTCTTCGTAGACCCAATGTATATCATATTAGTACTAGGACTCTATAGTACATTGGTATACCAGAGATTTGACGCGGCATTTATTTTCCAATGGGGAGTCTTCTGGGTTTCTACAATCACATAATTTTTCACTATTTTTGTCTAATTTAAGTGTAGCGTTTTTATTAATACTATTCTGGCATAGGGGTTTATAGTATTGATTAATTGGTAGAATTTTTACATCCCGTAGAACACGTTTAAAACAAGATAGAATTATGAAACTGGTATGAAAATGAAATATAATGGCGTCAATTTATTTCTCCTCGAGATTGATTATTTCTTATTCCCGCCATGACTTTTCTCCAATTCTTTCAGTTACAGGAACTACAAGAAATATTGTGGTGTCCAATCGCGGCTGTTCGGTCGGTGTCGCGCCTATAAATTTGTGACATCCTGCGTTTTGCACCGTTTCTTTCATCATCGTAATCAATACCATAAGGCTCCGTACGATCCTCAAAGTTAAGCAATGTCAATACTGGTCAGTACTTACATGGGTGAACGAGTGGGAATACCAGATGCTGTAAGCTTGTATGTGCGAGAGATATAAAAGACTTACGGCTATATCACATTGAAACATCAGTTCTCGTACGATCCCCAAAGTTAAGCAACGTCAAGCTTGGTCAGTACCTAGATGGGTGACTGCTTGCCAATACTAGGTGCTGTAAGCTTGGATGTGTGGGTGATATAAAGGACTTATGGCCATATCATATTGAAACACAAGTTCTCGTACGATCGGCGAAGTTAAGTAACGCCGATCTTAGTCAGTACCTAGATGGGTGACCGCTTAGGAATACCAGGTTCTGTAAGCTTGCATGTGCAGGTGGTATGAAGGATTTACGGTCATATCATATTGAAACACCAGTTCTAGTACGATCACTGAAGTTAAGCAACGTCGAGCCTGGTTAGTACCTAGATGGGTGACCGCTTGGGAATACCAGGTTCTGTAATCTCGGATGAGCGGGTGATATTTGGATAATGGCTAGGAATTGATAGCCGGATTCCAATTCCAGTTGTGTTCGTTAAATCCACTTATGCGCAGATATCCTTTGGAAAAGATATGAATCCGCCTTTTCTTCCTCCAGCTATGGGTTAATTAGTAAGACGTATGAAAATGCTCGGATGAAATCCATTTCTTGGTTCAGTCATTTCGAATATTCACGGCATGCTGCTCACATTGTAGCAAATCTACCCTTATTCCCTCCATATTTAATTGCTGAGAAGTAAGTCCCACAAGAGCAGCGACGTACGCGAACCATTGCCCTGTGGAACCGACTTTCAAGAGGATGAAAACTACAATTTTAACACATTCATGTCTACGGTTAACTGTTATCTAGCCTTCCTATCCGAAAAAAAATGTTCTTCATATTCTGTAACCCTCTACCTCGAGTGGCCCTCAGACCTTGTATTGAGCAAAGCTTACTGCAAAAAAAAAATCACTAAAAACATTATCTCCACACAAAAATAAAATTGCGTAAAAAATATTTAGATTTCGGTATTAGGCCCATAGGTTGAATGTATGGTATAAAGGAATTATGGCCATGTCATTTTGAAACACCAGTTCTCATACGATCACCAAAGTTAAGCAATGTCGAGCCTGTTCAGTACCTAGATGGGTGACCGCTTTTTTTACCAGGTTCTATCTATCTATCTATTTCATATCTACTTCATTCTATTTCTATTCATATCTATCTATCTATCTATCTATCTACCTATCTGATTCTGTTCATATCTGTCTATCTCATTCTCTTCATATCTATCTATCTATCTATCTATCTATCTATCTATATATATATATATATATATATATATATATATATATCATTCTCTTCATATCTATCTATCTTATTCTCTTCATATCTATTTCATTCTCTTCATATCTATCTATCTATCTATCTATCTATCTATCTATATCATCTCATTCTGTTCAAATCTATCTCATTCTATTTATATCTATCTCATTCTATTCAAATCTCTCTCTCTCTCTCTCTCTCTCTATATATATATATATATATATATATATATATATATATAATTCTGTTCATATCTATTTACTAGGTTCTATCTATCTATATATCTATCTATCTATTTCATATCTATTTCATTCTATTTCTATTCATATCTATCTATCTATCTATCTATCTATCTATCTATCTATCTATCTATCTATCTATCTATTTATCTATCTATCTATCTGATTCTGTTCATATCTATCTCATTCTCTATTTATCTCATTCTGGTCAAATCTATCTCATTCTATTCATATCTATCTATCTATCTATCTATCTATCTATCTCGATATATATACATACATATATATATATATATATATATATATATATATATATATATATATATATATATATATATATCATTCTGTTCATATCTATCTATCTTATTCTGTTCATATCTATTTCATTCTCTTCCTTTCTATCTATCTATCTATCTATCTATCTATCTATCTCATTCTATACATTATCTATCTATCTATCTATCTATCTATCTATCTATCTATCTATCTATCTTATTCTATTCATTATCTACTTTATACTCATATCAATACAATGAAACTAATCGCAAATAATGAATTAAATTAATAAGAATCATCGAACACACGCGCAGGTGATGCGCTTAAAAAACAAAACCTGGCAATGATTCCCCAGACGCGATAGAATTGTAAGCTTTCTTCAAACTGATGCAACCAAAATGTAAATACAGTCTGATTTTCAAACACAGAGAGACAGAGAATCGAACAGGGAGTGAGGTATTAAAAGCAGACAGAGGGAGCATACGTCCCTGGACATAGAAGAAACGCTGCAACCGAAGACATTCCGATTACAAAGGCGACAGCAACAGAGGAGGCGGCATCTACTTTTTAGAACGATTTCTCAGTGAAATACCAAGTCATGTCGGAAGCCCGGGCAGACCAAGCTATGCATAAATTACATGGACGCTTGTCGTTGAGGACTGCTGGGCCCTGCAAGATTCTTTCACCAGTCGAGCGCCTGAGTAGTGCATTCGAGTTTCAGTTTTTGTATTGCGTCGGTGAGCAAATGAAGTAAATATCTCAACTTGCCTGGCACCTTAAATAGTTGCATCTGTGGCGGCCCAGTTACCAAAATCTGAGGAAATCACCAAAATATATTTTTTTAAAAATCCCATCTTCGTCGATCTGAGAGTTTGTTAACACTCGTATTTCCCAACAGACGGTATGTGAGGCCAGGTAAATAAAAATAAACTTGCATTTCAAATGATGGCATTCAAAACAAGAATGTTCCACAGATTCGAAAAACGAAATAGCACAAAAGAATGTTTCTATTCCTATTTTGCCAAAATCTATGTATTTATATATGTATGTATGTATGTATGTATGTATGTATGTATCTATGTCAGTCTTTTCACCTCTCTTTCTCTCTCTTTCTATTCTTGTCAGTCTTTTCATCTAAGTCTGTTTACCGCTATAATGTATATTAATGACGTAATTTTACTGAACTATCTATCTATCTACTTCAGTCTTTTCTATCTATCCATCTATCTATCTATCTATCTATCTATCTATCTATCCCAATCTTTTCATATCTATTCTATCTATCTATCTATCTATCTATCTATCTATCTATCTATCTATCTATCCCAATCTTTTCATATCTATCTATCTATCTATCTATCTATCTATCTATCTATCTATCTATCTATCTACTTCAGTCTTTTCTTCTATCTATCTATCTATCTATCTATCTATCTATCTATCTATCTATCTATCTATCTATCCCAATCTTTTCATATCTATCTATCTATCTATCTATCTATCTATCTATCTATCTATCTACTTCAGTCTTTTCTATCTATCTATCTATCTATCTATCTATCCCAATCTTTTCATATCTATCTATCTATCTATCATCTATCTATCTATCTACTTCAGTCTTTTCTATCTATCATCTATCCATCTATCTATCTATCTATCTATCTATCTATCTATCTATCTATCCCAATCTTTTCATATCTATCTATCTATCTATCTATCATATCTATCTATCTATCTATCTATCTATCTATCTACTTCAGTCTTTTCTATCTATCTATCTATCTATCTATCTATCTATCTATCTATCTATCTATCTATCCCAATCTTTTTCTTTCATCTATCTATCTATCTATCTATCTATCTATCTATCTATTTATCTATCATCTATCTCTATCTACTTCAGTCTTTTCTATCTATCTATCTATCTATCTATCTATTCATCTATCTATCTATCCCAATCTTTTTTCATATCTATCTATCTATCTATCTATCTATCTATCTATCTATCTATCTATCTTCAGTCTTCAGTCTTTTCTATCTATCATTCATCTATCTATCTATCTATCTATCTATTCATCTATCTACTTCAGTCTTTTCTTCTATCTATCTATCTATCTATCTATCTATCTATCTATCTATCTATCCCAATCTTTTCATATCTATCTATCTATCTATCTATCTATCTATCTATCTATCTATCTATCTACTTCAGTCTTTTCTTCTATCTAATGAAAAGAATAAAAATATTAATGAAGCCATGTCGCACACCCTCCATGCTCTCGCTAGAATGCACACGATCATGTGTCCATACACTTGCATCCATCCTTTCTTCTAAACTATAGGAGCTCGTGTCAGCCGTCTGAAATAGAAAATGCAAGTGTGACAAGACTTTCGGACCACCCTGTATAATCCGCGTCTGAGGCCAGGTAAATAAAAAGTTAGGATTTCGAATGTTGGTTTTCAAAACAATCAGGTTGCACAGATTCAAAAACAAATGTCACAATATAATCTTCCTACCCCTATTTTCCTAAATGATCTTGTGCAAATATTAAGAGATACATAAATTAACTATCACTAGTCACGATAAATTGATGTTCCCTTAGGGACGCTCCCTGCCTTGATGAGAGCCTATTGGGGCGTTAAACTCAACCCAGATCTCAAATGGAACTCGTACATAAGATCCATCGCTAAAGATGCTGGAAAAATGGTCAGTTCCCTGTATCGCTCCAGTAAGTACCTGACTCCTTCTGCTATCCTCTTCATTTACATGGGCCTGGTCAAGCATAAAATGGAGTAGGGATGCCATATTTGGGCAGGAGCTGTCCAGTCTTCAATTTCCGGTTTTCTATAGAGTCCAAAAGCCTCTCCGCATCGTTCTAGGTGAAAAGTTATTTTCCATCCCGCAACCCCTCTCTCTCTCAGACGAGATGCTGCAAGCGTTTCACTACTCTATCGCTATTTCCACAGAAAGTTCCCAGACGAACTACATTGCTTAGTGTTGCAGTTTTTGGGGTATTATGTACTAGTGAGCTATCCCAAATGACTTGACTCATTTTATAGTCCACCAATAGAAGGTTAACCAATCAGAAGACGTAGAATATTCAGTCCGTCGTGTATAAAGGCGGCCATTTTGTCTACTCTACCCGAATGTCCAGTCTAGCTTGTCAGGCGAAGAGAATCGAATGGACGAACTATGCTCTGCTACTTTTACCAAAATATCCACTGCTAACCTGAACAACGCTAGATTCTATACTCAAAGACGACCGTCATTAGGAACAACATTGGTTAGTCCCACGAGTTCTAACCTTCACAGCTAGGACCCGCCTTGCCACGCCCATTGTAGCGAACCACCCTCATCCCTTTCATATTGGTGAGAAATAAGTTCCACTCAAGCAGTTTCTTCCAAACCCAACCACTGCTCTGTTCAACCGATTCTTGAAGTCTAAAACTGATGGCTTTGTGCCAGACTAAACAAAAGTACATTTTAATATGCGTTCCTCGTCAATAGACAGGGACTGGTGAGCTCGTCTAGTAATGAATCAATACTCAGTAGTAAATTCGAACCCAACTGAGGGGTTGCGGGATGGAAAATAATTCATCACTCACAAGGACGCGGAGACGCTTTTGGACTCTATCCGGAAACTGAGGGCTAGATAGCTCCTGCCCATATATGGCAGCGGTACTCCATTTTATGCTTGATCAGGCTCATATAAATCCAACTGAGAGCCCTACACTGATGACCTTGTGGCAGACTAAAGTAAGTAAATAAATTTAAATATACTTCCTTTGTGATCATTTAGGCGTTAGTGAGTTAGTTTAGCGGTCATGTACTTATGTGTAATGAAATCGAACCCCACTGGGAGCCTTACACTGATGACTTTGTTCCAGCCTAAGATAAACAACTAAATTTTAATATATTTCCTTTGTGATCAGTTAGGCGTTAGTGATTCGATTCCCTGTACCGCTCCAGTAAGTACCTGACTCTTTCTATTATCCTCTTTATTTACATGGGCCTGATCAAGCATAAAATGGAGTAGGGCTGCCATATTTGGACAGGAGCTGTTCAGTCCTCAGTTTCCGGTTTCGATAGAGTCCAAAAGTGTATCCGCGTCCTTGTGGGTGATGAATTATTTTCCATCCCGCGACCCCTCTTTCTCAGACGGGATATTGCAAGCGTTTCACTACTCTATTTCCACAGAAAGTTCCCAGACGAACTACATTCCTTAGTTCCACGAGTTCTAACCTTCACGCCTAGGACCCACCATGCCACGCCCATTGTAGCGAACCACCCTCATTCCTTTCATATTGGTGAGAAATAAGTTCCACTCAAGCAGTTTCTTCCAACGCGGACCACTGCTCTGTGGAACCGATTCCCAAGAGCATGTTTTTCCGATCACTGTTGTTCAAGTCTAGGGTTAACCGCCATCTTTTTCCTCCACCGCCATATATCCGAATAAACTGTCTCTCTTACTCTGAAATCCTCTACCTTGAGTGGCTCCCGGGCATTGTTCATTGTAAAAAAAACAACAACTGATAATTCAAACAATTCGTAAATGTTGATTAAGGCGGTGAATGCCAGGATTATCTTAGAATGGCCGATGAAAAATTTTCTTTGGAATGGGTTTTTATACTCTGGCAGTGAATTAAATGATGATTCAAGACAATTCTTAGATATTGGCGAAGGTAGTAAAATTAATGGTCATCTTGGAAGAGCTAACGCGATATTTTCCTAATATGGTATTCCACATTGTTTAATATTGTCCAAAGAAAGCCGAGACGGTTGGGTAATAATATTTTTCATTAACGTTTTCGAAACATTCCTGTCTGCAGGGTAAAAACTATAAAATAAAACTTTTCCAAATCCGAAGTGTTTAAATAATAGATTACCCATTTCCGTTGCCCTAGCAGAGGTGCGTGATTGATAGATTCCGGAAATATGTAAAAAGCTGTTGTGTAAACATAAAGACTTTAGAATCTCTTATTCCTTAGTTCCACCAGTTCGAAGCTTCACGGCTAAGACCCGCCATGTTCCTCTCGAGCGGCTTCTTCCCACGAATGGCTTCACTGTAGAACCAACGACCAGCAGGGTGCTTCCCCGATCGCTATAATCTCAACTTGTTCAAGACTAGGGTTAACCGTTATTTTCCACACATATCCACATAAACTGTGCCTCTTATTCTGTAACCCTCTACCTTGAGTGGCTCCCGGACATTGTTCACTGTAAAAAAAACAAAACAACTGATAATTCGAACAATTCGTA